AAAGACCTCGTTCTTCCCCGCTGGGCCCTCTTGACCTGCCCCCGCCCGGGAATTGGGCAGGGTCCTTGAGGGCACAGGGGATCGAGGGCGGGACGACGGGAGTCATCCCCTCTAGGGAGTTAATTGGGACGCCAAGCGGCCCTTTAGGACAAGGTAGAACTGGTCCTGTGGGTTTCCCAGGCTGTCCGACTGAATGGGAGCAGAAGGCCTCCAGCACCCTGTGGTTTCGAACTGCCGACTCTGTGTGTAACCAAGATGCCACGCCGCCCTGCTTTCTAAGGAACAGGAGGCTGGTGAACACACGCTTTCTATGACTAAGGAAACAGAAAACGCTGGAAGTGCCCATTGTGGCAAAAGGACTAAGGTCGTTCGGTAGGAAGGGCTTGATCTGTTTGTACATTTGAGAGGATCTGTGAGCCTTTTTTTCCCCTTTGAAGTTAGGTCATCGCTTCTCGGTTGTTTCCCAGTTTGTGATGTTGATATTTGTGCGTCTTCGACGTTGTTTCGTGTGTCGTTTCCCAAGTGGAGCGCCTTTAGATTGATAGCCCGGGACGCTTTCCATGGCTTGTCCCTACAGCGCATCTGTCATTTTCAGAAGGACTTTTATGCCCTGTTGGAAGCACTAATGACGAGACTGAGGATCTAATGGAGTAGTTTTCCTGATACTCTGTAAAATTAATATTTTATTCAGGTTAGAAGATGATATGCCTGGTTATGATTAATATTACAGAGATGTTTCCTTTCAATTATGTCACTAAGTGATTAAAATGTACTTGACTAAGCTGTTTGTTCTGATACTATATTAAGACCAGATTAATCTGGGGAATAAAAATCAATCTTTTTTTTGTTTTGGTTTTTTAAGAGTCTAATAAGGTATAAAGGGGCCAAATCTTGGATTCCCAGATCATAAAATTGTAGAATATCAGAGCTGACAATAACCTTAAAGCAGAGCTAGTCACGCACTTAAGAGTTAGTTGGTGGGTGAGGAACAGGAGGCCCCAAAGGAGTTTGTGACTACTGTATTTGTGTTTTAACCTTGTGGCAGATCTGCAGAGGGATTGCGGACACTCTTACCTTTAATCTATACGAATTCAGCAAAGCAAACACACATCTTTCTTGAGGGTAAAACGTATCCCCAACCCTCCTGTCAGCATTTCCTAATGCCTAACAGGATTCTTGAACTGACCCCTCAGCGTTCAAGACAAGATCACACACCCTAGAGACTGCCACCTTGTGGAAGAGTCAAGCCTGGCACTGTGAAGGTAAGCGGGTCATGCCGGGACCCTTGTCTCATCTTCATGTCAGAGCCTGGATCATCGTCAGAGTTGCTCATGATGTATTTGCTGGCAAATGTGGCGAGGACTGGGAGTAGAGAGGCAAGGTTGGGGCAGTTATCCCCACGGTGAACCTAGCTTTTCTCTACAGACTGCAAAAGAGAAACCTCCCTAGTTTAAAGGGCTTTCTTTCTGGCCTTGTCTGCAGCTCTCTGTAAAAAGACATTGGTGGCTTGGAGAAGAAGAGATGGCAAACTCTTCCCTTATTTTGCATTTTCATTGAATATTTGTATTTATACAGGCCTAAGGAATTCCTTTTAATATGATCAATAATAATAATAAAACACCCACTGACATCAAGTCAATTCCAATTCATAGTGTCCCCATGAAGAGTTTTCAAGAATGATGAAATAACATGTCTGAGAAGCTACAATTTGTAAGGACCAGAGTCAGGATTTGGCCTAGCTTCTGAAGTGATCCTCTCAAGCCCTGTTGGATAATGGCTCCATTCCTAAAAGCATGCTTTTAATCTCCCTCTACAGCCCCCTCGGCCCCACCTCCCCATTTCTCCTTCATTTTTCCTCTTCTGCACAATTGGGTTCTGAAGACCATGCAGCTTTACTATTCTAGACTCCTGTTAATCCAACAAAGGATCCTTGGTGACACCGTGGGTTTACACGTAGGGCTGCTAACTGAAAGGTCAAGAGTTCAAAACCACCACCTGCTCCATGTGAGGAAAAATGAGGCTTTCTACTCCTGCAAAGGTTTATCGTCTCAGAAACCCACAGGGGCAGTTCTACTTTGTCCCGAAGGGTTGCCACGTGTTAGAATTGACTAGATGGCCAGGAGTTGATTTGGGTTGGATAGAGCCCTTAAATTTAAAAATGCATTAATTTGAAGCCTGAATCTTTTTTTTTAAGTGTCCATTTTATGCGAGGAGAAAAAATGCATTTTTGAATTTTAAACTACTTTCTAAAAGGAAAAAACATCTGTATCCAAATGTGTTCTTGGGACATGGTAGGACAGTTTATTTCTAGCCCAAGCTCATTTGACCTTATTGCCCTGGCCATCTGATAGCAAGAGCACTATCTGTTTGTGCAATCCAAAGAGAGGTGATCCAACAAAATTCAGAAATTATGGCACCATGTCATTAATCACACGCAAGCCAAATTTCGCTGAAGATCAATCAATGATTGCAGCAGTACGTTGATAGGAAATTGCTAGAAGTTTACGTTTAATTCAGAAGAGGACGAGAAAGAGGCGTATCAGATGGATCTTAGCTGGAAGCAGAGACTATTAAAAAGGTGTTTACCTATGTTTCATCAACTATGCAAAGGCATTTGACGGTGTGGGTCATAACAAATTATGCATTTCACGGCAAAGAATGGGAATTCTAAAGCACCTAATTGTGCTCATGTGGAACCTGCACACAGACCAAGAGTTGGTCCTTGCACAGAACAAGGGAATCTGGTGTGGCTTGAAATCAGGAAAGGGTGTGCACCATCACTGTATCCTTTCACCACATGTAGTTGACCTGTATGTAGAGTGAATAATCTGAGATACTGGGCTACATCAAGAAAACAGCCACATCAGACTCCTTAGCAACCTGTGATAGGCAGATGATAGTGAGGAAGGCTTGAAGCACTTGCTGATGAAGGTCAAAGACTGCCGCCTTCAGTAGTGATTACAACTCAATGTGAAGAAAACCCAAATCCTTACAGCAGGACAAGTAGACAATATATCATAATCAGTGGAGTAAATGTTAAGGTTGTCAAGAATTTCATCTTGCTTGGATCCACAATCAATGTTCATGGGAGCCGCCGTCAAGAAGCCAAATGATGTACTGCTTTGGGTAAATACGCTGCGAAAGAGCTCATTAAAGTGTTAAAAGTCAAAGATGTTTCTTTGAAGACTAAGGTGCACCTGACCCAAACAATGTTATGTTTCGTCGTCTCATGTACATGTGAAAATTGGACATGCAAGAAAGAATAAAGAGAAGGGGTGCCTTTGAACTGTGATGTTGAAGCATATTAAATATAGTCTGGACTGTCAGGAGCCCTGGTACCCGTTGGCCGTTTGAAACCATCAGCGGCTCTGCGGGAGAAAGACGGGGTTTTAGACATCTGTAAAGAGTTGCAGTCTCAGAAACGTACAGGGGCAACAATACTCTGCTCTATAGGGTTGCTATGAGTTGGCATGGACTGATGGCGGTGAATTTATTTTTGGTATGGACTGTCACGTGAATGAGCCAATCTGTCTTGGAAGAAGTATAGCCGGAATATTTCTTGAAAGACTGAATGGCCAGACTGTGTCTCATGTCCCTGGGAGATGTCATTAGGAGGGACCACTCCTAAAAAAGGACAACATGCTTGGTAAGTAGAGGAGAGGCAGCAAAAAAAAAAAAAAAATAGAAAAGGGAAGCCCCTCAATGAGCTGTATTGACAGTGGCTGCACCAAGGGACTCAACCATACCAAGGCTGGTGTGGGACCAGAATGTATTATTTCGTCCTATTAGACACGGGGTCACTATTAGTGGAAACCAACTCAAATGGCACCTAAGGGATTTTGCTGTAGATGAGACAGTGTGTTCTAAACACTGCTGCTCAGAAGTTCTCCACACCTTAGTTTCCTGGAAGAGGAAATGGCATTTCCTGGAGGGGACTACCCGTGGGTGGTAAGGTTCCACGTGTTACATTTAACACACCCTGCACAGACCCTGTGTACTTCTTTTCTTCCTTCATTTTCTGTGGTCGAGTTCCCTGAAATAGTGCTGCGTCTAGATGATGCGGAAGCTACAGCTTTTCCCACCAGCTGGGATGAAGTCATTGCTGTGTGTCTGTCTGGGACCCGGTGGCCTCGCCTCAGAGCTAAGGGATGAGTGACTCCCAAGAAGGTTGGCCCCGGAGCTGTCTCCAGCAGCTTCCTTAGCATGGGACTGGAAAAGGAAGCCCAAGACGTATGCTGGTTTGAGTTGGGACCTCACTGGTAATTATGCTTCATCTCTCAGGAGACCACGTGTCGCATCTTTCTGTGAGACTGACCTTTTGTAGAGGATATAGGCTAGAAATTAAGAAGGGTGTCCTTATTTTGCATCTACAGTCGGTGGAGGGTGCTTGCTCACTGAGAGACAGACCTTGGCCGTCATGGACAAGTTGAGTGCAGTGTTCTTTATCAAGATCATTTCTGTTCTGCAGACGCCACCACTCAGAGGAAATCACTTTGGACTGCTCAGAGAACTGGGGACCCCGCTGTCCAGTGTTCCAGATGCCTGACAGAGATGGCTTTCAGAGTGAGTTTTCAGAAAAATCAACATGGAATTCCAGGACAATGACCAACCCTAACCCCAGAAATGAACTCCAGAGTAAATATGTTCAGGATCTGTCAAAAGTATCCTAGAAGTTGTGTGGGTCAAGAAGAGGTACCACCAACTATAACAACAAAAAGCCCTGGAATTTTAAACTCACAACTTGGGCAAGAGAAAGGGAGAGATTTTTTTTCTCCTCACTTCACTCTTGCTTTTATTTCAAGTGGGAAAGAGAGTAGTTAGAAATTGAAAATGTTATCAGAGAAGAGTCCTATGCTTCGAACAAAACCCAGCTCTACATGTGGAGAGTAGAAGGGTCTTGATGGCTGTTATTAATAAGACAAATGGCAATTCTTCCAAAGAGCGAGGGGAAATGATGAATGGTGAATGCAAACCCTACATTGAGGTAAAAAAAAAAAAAAGTTGTGAATGTTCATAATATGATCTTTTTAAAATATGATCTTATTTGAAATATTTGTTGTACATGGTAATTTAAAAAGCTTAGACCAAATGTTAGAGGTAGGTTTTAGTTCTTCACTTAGGAGAGAGGCTGTCAATAGAAAAGTTGGCCTTTTCTGCTGCTCCTGGGAGAAAGATAGGAGGATGTCTCCTCTTGTGAAGATTTCCAGCCTCTGAAACCCACAAGGGCAATTATAAGCTCTCCTATAAGGTCCCTTTAATTCGGAATCCACTCCATGACAGTGGGTCTGTTTGGTTTTGCTAAGTCAGGCATGGTACTGAACACTTTGTTATTTCACTTGATTATCACAAGAAATCCTTTGAGATGCATAATAGTCACCCACTCCATTTTACATGTGAGAGGATTCAGCATCAAAGATGGTAAACTAACACCTAGTCCAGCTCAGCCAGCACAGGAGGGTGGGCCAGGCCGAGAAGTTCCACCTGACGGCTCGCCCTGATTTTTATCATGATCTACACAAAAATAAGACCTTTAAAATAGTAAAATAATTTTGTATGTTTGTGGATGTCCTGATGTAGAACGTATTTGGCTAGCAAAAGGGTTTACTCGCAAAAAATGACCAATTTGTAAATTATCATGCATCAAAATGCTCACATCATTTTTAACTGTACGGAATCGAACAGAATTATTTCCCTAGTGATGCAGAATTAGAGTACTGTAACCCTTGTTTTTCCTGAGCATCGATTACCAGAATATTCTCAAAGAGTGAAACTGAGCATGAAAGCATTTCTTTTATCTGAGGAATGAAAACAGTGGAAGAAGTTATCAAACCACAATAAGTATTCTCTGCTAATAAAGAGATTCTACTTGTCACTCAAGTATATGAATCAGAGAGTGTGAGCTTATATTTTCATTGTTGTTTCTAACGTGGACACTAGTTTCAAAATAATAGCTTCTCACTATGTTTCTAAGATCTCAGGGTACAGTCAGGATAAAAGCGAAAGGTATTGTATTTTCAGGGGTTCACAGGTACATTCAAAACAAAACCAAAAACCTTCGTTACTGTCAAGTGGATTCCAACCTATGTCGACCTCATGTGTTATAGATGGGAACTACTTTTCTTGGCTGCGATCTTTACAAAAACAGATATCCAATGCTTTTCTCTTCATGAAAAACGGCTTCCTAACATTTAGAGAGTTCACAGGGATTAAAGTACAATGATGATTGCTTTAAATGGATCTGAAATTTTTTTCTGAGACAGAGAGGATATTGACCAGACAGTACCTCTCCCAACAGTACTTTTGACTGGTTTTCTTCCATACAAGAAAAGCACTAGCAACACCTGAAAGGGCCTCAGCCCTGTCCCTGGATGCCCCAAAGATGCATAAATCTGAGAATGGACTGCGACTCCAGGAGAAAGGGAGCAAGCGGACCCCTTCGACCATATTTATAAGTTGGGGTACTGCAAGTTGTTACACTTGTCCTGGAATCAGAACTTTTATTAAGAAAGACACATTTCTCAGATTAAACCCATTTCCTTTTATGGAAATGCAAATATCTCTCACCATACCTTTGTTCTTTAATCCACACCTTTCATGCAATCCCACGTCCTATGTGCAGTTTTACTGTGCCATGAACACATACACACACACACACACACACAAAGTGTGGGGTGGTGGAAAGCAATTCTTTATTTCACAAGAAAATATATTGGTCTGGATTTCATGCATTGTCAGATTCCTTCCAGCTATATAATTTTGAGAATAAATGTTAATTAACAGAAAACTCTATTTGTTGGTGCTGGGGAATGTACTATCATTTACCTGTGGGTGTGCTCATTGCTAAGGTAATAGTTCCTAGCTTGAGAATTATTTGATGCCTCAAAAAAGTCACACATGAATGAGACCAGGGAAAACACTGACAATTATTACTTTCTTACTTGGGTATAATTTTTCTGACCACACCATAGTTTCAACCATTCGCTTTAAAGCACCAATTTTATGTAAGAAAAACACAAGGAATTTCTTAGCGACTAGTGGTCTAATGGGGTTAAGTTAATCTTAATTTGGGGCTGGTTTTTGGGGTCAGTCAAGTACGTTCTGTTTCATAATCACGTTTTTACAGCCAACACAGGGACTTACCTATGAACTGTTTGTTTTGGGTGCCAGACTACAGTTCTTGATGGGTTATTTCATTTAAATTTGAATGGGCTCATATGCATTTGCGCAGATCCTGTAGGATATATTCTTTCCTCTGCTTCTTATTCTTTAAAATAAAATTCCTGTCTGCTATTAGACAAGATCAGAAAACAACAAAAGGGTAAGGTCCTAGATTTATAATCTCTCAAGTAAAGAATGATGTACTTTGAATAAATACTTACTCTATAAAGCATTACGTACCATAGTAAGTATTACATATACATGTGATCTCAGCTGTCCTAATGATCTTATCAGATGGGTGTTCTTCACATGTTGCAGTGAGAACATTGGGGCCCATGGAGGATATATATGACTTGTGCCAGGCCACCGAAGCCAGCGGATAGTGCAACCGGGATCAAAATCCAAGTATATCCCCTTCAGAGACGGTCACCCGGTGTAGAGCCTCAGAATAGAGATTATAGTCTGCATATGGATTTTCAATGATCATTTTTTAAAATGTAAGGTGTACAGTCACATGAATGCAAATATACACACACAAGTAGAAATTAGAGAAAAATAAAAAGAGAAAATTACCCACAGTTCACATTTCGGTATACTTCCTTACATTCTTTTATTTATTTGAAAGCATTTTATTTTAAAAATAACTTTTGCTGGTTTGCCTGGGTCTAAAGTAAGAAACACTTATCATAGGACATTTAAAAAAAAAAAAGTACACGAAAAAGGAAGTTTGAAACCACTCAAAATCTTAAGATATGACGAGAGCTGCAAATAGCCGGGTGTCTTATTCTAGTTATAATAACTGACACCACTTGCCCTTAGACCAAAGCTGAAATTTCTCAACAGAACCCAATTGGCAGCTCACAGTTTCCAATCTCACTCACTTACCAGCTGACTTGGCCTTGACCTGACTTGGTGTTTCATTTCACAAGACATTGCACATTTGATTCTTAGGCAGCGACTGATGGCTCTGATCACTCAAAATGCACCTAGCTACTTCGCTGTTAACCGAAGGACCAAATTCACTCCCTGCTCACCGAAAGAATCTCAGAAAAGGAATGCTGCTGCTGCTTTACATCTGCCCTTACAACGCTGCAGACTAACACACATATAATATATGTGTGTGTGTGTGTGTGTGTGTGTGTGTGTATTTCCCCCTTTCAAATGCAACTTATGTTAAATCATGTCAACTTCACTGTGGAAAGGAAACCACCCAAGGCCCTTCTCACTAGTTGATGGGAACTTTTAAACAGGGCTAACAGTTTTGTTTCGTTGGTTTGTTTAGAGGGCAGTGTTTTTGGTACGAGTTGGGCAACGGATCCTGCACGGCCAGGTCCCGGCATTACATTTGGGTGTTGCATAAGCGTGGGGCAGCAGCAGGAATGTGGATTAACTTTTAATCATCCTAAGAAACTCTCTCTCTGAGCAAACGACAAATAAGCGGTTCACTGAGAACCTTGACATCATGTGACCTGACCTGCCGAGGGAACTTAAGAAGCCTTAGCAACTTAAGAACATGAAAAGACTCCTGGGTAAAACCCAGCAAGGTGCAGCACATTCTAGCTACTTCAGCTTTGTTACCCAGGCTCCCACGCTCCCTCCCGGCAGACCAGGAACCCGAGCCTAAGAAACCAAACAGTAAACCAATTTAAAATCTTGAAGCGTAGATCCTTCCTTTGGTTTCCCCAAACCTCACCGCATTGACTTACTTTTTGCAGACCAAATATTATTTTCTTTTCTGTACACATTCATTTTGAACGTCCTTCCGGGGTTCTAACTTTAAATTCTTCCCTTTTTTCTTAACCCGGGAAGAAAAATTCAAAAAATTCCATGATCTCCTTTGCAACGTCCTTGGCATAAGGAGCTCATTGTGTCCACGAGGGGGAAACATGTGGAGAATCTGGATTTCTCATGCAAATTAGTGCCATAGGGGAACTTGCTTGGTAGTCTCTACTGAAGCGGGGCCTAGGCATGCCCTGTGAGCCAGAAATTCCGCTCGGAAGTCCTTGGGTGCAGTGAAAACAGGTACCACCGCCTATGAGCACTCGTCCTCATCACCCCAAAGTGTATAGCCCAGCACCTGTGCAAGAAGTAACTGAACAGTGGCCTTGGAGTTCACGGAACACGAGACAGCGGTGGAAATTAGCACATGACATTGCTGCATGCCACGGTATGCACAAACCTCACCAACATTGTACTGAGTGGAAGAAGCCAGGCACAAAAGCATGCTTGCTGCCTGGTTTCATTTCTCTGACATGTATAAGTAGGCAGCATTCATCGATAGCATCAAAGCCAGGATAATCGACCTGATATTAGGTGGGGGGGGGGACAGTGTTGGAGAAGGGGCTTAATGATGGCTTCTGTTACATTGGTGACAGCCTATTAATTGATGCCAGCGGTGGGTGCATCAATATGATCCCTTTGTAAAAATTCATCTAGCTGTGTCTCTGTGACTTGTCTACTTTTCTGTATGTGCCACCTGCAACCAAAAAATCATTTAAAAACTGCATGGTTTTATCATATTGAAAACATTTTTTTAAAGATCCTTTTGTTGGGAACTCTTACAGCTCTTATAATAATCCATACATTATTTGTATCAAGCATATGTGTACATATGTTGCCATCATTATTTGCTAAACATTTACATTCTATTTGAGCCCTTGGTATCAGCTCCTCTTTTTCCCCTCCCTCCTGCTTTCCATCCACATGACCCCTTGCTAAATCATTATTATTTTCATATCTTACACCAACTTCTGTCTCCCTTCCCCTGCAGTTTCTGCCTGCTTCCCCTCCCCACAGTCCTCCAGCAGAAGTAAGCAGAGTTAGTTTCCCACATAATGGACATGGAGAGGTCACTGCAGGTAGGTTCTGTGGCAAATGCACTTAATTCTCTCTCTCTGCCCCTCAGTTTCTCTCTCTCTCTCTCTCCACCCTTTTTCTTGTTTTTAATCATTTTATTGGGGACTTTTTTTCTTGCTTGTTGATGAAGGGGTTGGATATAATGATATTACAGCTAACCTTCTGATCACCTGCGCCATGAAGCTAATCTCCTTTCACCTGAAGGGAACTTGGTGGTACAAAGGTTAAGCACTTGACTGCCAGCCAAAAGGTTGCCAGTTCAAACCCACCCAGGAACTCTGAGGGAGCTAGGCCTGGCCATCTGCTTCAGTAGAAATGACAGCCTGTGGAGGACAGTGGGAGCCCAAAGTCCACCTGCAGAGTACCAAGTTAGATTCCACCTCTGGCTGACCCCCTTCTGACCCCAGCAGAGGGATGAGAACAGCCTTGCTATGAGACAGAGATTGTTGTGCAATAGCTTGATTATGGTGGATGCACCGATGGTAAAATAGGATGCCTGGTCAGTTGACCCAATGCATTGTTTATGTAACTCCACTACACGATCAGGATTCCTTGATAGCAACTATGGGGATGGGTAAAGACAAAGGAGGTCTGGGAGGTAAGACTTTCTTAGCTTATCTGAACGCATTGAAAATGCTTATTTTAAAAAGGCATATTTGCTTCAAAAGCTACAGCAGAGCAAACTTCTATCCGTTTGGCATAAATCTCCTTTTGAAAACACTCAAGCTTCCTTTATCTTAAATTTTCATTTGTTGACCTAGAGCCCATCTGACTTAATGCCCCGAATGAATGAAACAACACTGGCTATCCTCCAGGAAGTCCCTCTTCTGGAGAGCAGCCCAGCCTCCAGCACCGTCTCCTTCATGTACTGCTGGTTGCTGCTGTGGTGTCTTCTCGAGTCTCTTCCTTGTGGCTTGATGGTTGTGCACTAGGTCGCCAGCCCCTTGGTCAGCCATTGGAAACCACCAGCTGCTCTGTGGGGGAAAGATGAGGTTTTCTACTCCCGCGAAGAGTGACACTCTCAGAAACCCACAGGGGCCCTTCTACCTGTGTTGTGACCAGGTTGCCATGAGTTGGAATTGACTCGCTGGCAGCGAGCTGGTGTTTCTGGCTTTATTCCCATTCATAGCAAGCCTATGGGATGGGGGAGAACCGCCCCACAGGAAGTTTTCTAGAGCCCTGGCGGTGTGAGTTGTTAAATGGTAGACTGCTACCCCAAGAGTTGGCAGTTCAGAACCACTAGTAGCTGCTCTACTAGAGAAAAATGAGGCAATCTGCTTCCTTAAGGATTCAGTCCTATGGTCCTCCCCTGTCCTGCGGTTGGTTCAAGTTTGCTATGAGTAGAATGGGTATGGGTTGGAAAGGATAGTCTGTACTGATGCAAGGTGACAGGGCTTTCCCTTTCACAGCCTCTAGAGGCTTTGAACCACCAACCTTTCAGATAGCAGCTGAGTGCTTCATCATTTGTGCAACCAGAGCTCTTTCTGTACTGATTCAACACCGAGTGTCTGAAAAGGTAAGCTCTAGGTTCAGGTGCTGGAACACGGATCGTTCAAGGTGCTGGTGACCAGGAGGAGCACCTCTTGGAAAAGCAAACCATGGTAACCATATAGAGACCGTGAAATGGGCAGAAGGCTGGTTAGATCGGACCTCCGACTCCAGGATGGTCTCTTTTCCCCTGATGCACTTGCCACCTCAGTCACTCACACTTACCTGGAGGTGTCCACGTCCATTTGATGGCAGCAGGGCAGTTGAGTTCACGGTCCTACAGGATGTTCCAAGGAGCCCCGGTGGACTAGGAGGTTACCGATGGACCTGCTAACTGCAAGCCTCTCCCAGATGGAAAACGAGACTGTCCCCTCCTGGAAATATTTGCAGGTTTAAGAACCCAAAGGGGGCAGCTCCACTCTGCCTGCAGGCTGACCATGAGTCAGAATGGACTCTTTGACTGTGAGTTGTTGTTTTTATTGAGGAAAGCGGAGGCTGTCAGGTCCCGTAAAGGTTTACAGTCTAAGAAAACATATATGGATGGGTCACTGGGACTTGGAACGGACTTGACGGCAGTGTTGTTGTGTTTTTGACTTTAATGGGACAGTCCTGATATTGCTAAGGAAAGTCAGAGAAATGAAGGGCATTCTCAAGCTATGCTCTTAGAAATGTGTAAATGTTCATCTCCGTTGTTTATGACTCTCATCCTGAAAGAAGCGCCCTTCTCTTCTTCCTTACCTTTAACAATAACTGACTCCTTGTATTACATAGTTTTCTATGACATTTAAAGGACCTGCTCACAGTAAGGTGTTCAATATGTGATATCACACTTTTCTGTTTCCGTGGCTAAAATTAACTCAAGCAAAATACTGGTAGCCCCCGACTTACAATGGAGTTCTTTCTGTTCTGACAACGCCATCTTAAGTTGGTTCTGATACAAATCAAATATATATATTTAGTTTTCAGTTTTTATTTATGACCAGTCTCTTTATAAAGTTGATTTTCCAACATCTGCAAGTGAACATCTGAGACTGATAACTTTATCAAATGATAGGCTGCAGCACTGTAAGCAGTACATATTATTAATGATACGATGTATCAGAAACAAACACTCAGAAAGCTTGATGTGCAGGTTTGCTGTTACTTGAGCACACATAAGCCAGGGAGACCCTCTCCCTGTATGTGGAAGTTGCTAAATAAGCACTCCCTAGATCCCTCTGCATACATGTTTTTCTACGTGTCGGCTACATTAAGAATTGGGGCAGTCGGCTTTCAGTGGCAGGATTTTTCTTTTCCGTGCAGGAGCCCTGGGTTTGAATTCTGGTCAATGCCCCTCAAGTTCACCCACAGTTGTCTGGCAGCGAAGGCGTGCGTGTGCGGATTTCAGAGGCGTTTTCGAGAAAGGCTTGGTGACCTTCAGAAAGTCCATCAGCCCAGGGAAACCTCGTGGATCACAACAGTCAGAGTCTGCTGTGTGTGGCTTCTCCGCGTGTCAGGATGTCAGGCAGCCCCCACACAACATGTTGCAAATAGAGTTACTGCGGTGTCGCAGAGAGAATATGGACTCTGGACCTCAGAGTCATCCAGCTCCAACTCCATGGCCAAAGTGAGGGCTGGGTTTTCTCTCGGGAGCCGTGTGGACTTCAGGGAGCCCCATCGTTGTTCCGTGCCTGTTTCCTCAGCTGAGGAATTTAATGAAGTGCATTAAATAGCCACTTTCCTCTTTAAAAGGCTCTAATGTACAAAAGAACCTAACGTTGATCAAACATTCGTGCTTTACCCCCCACTGAATAAGGAAGCACGATGGGTACTCAGTGGCGGCTGATTGATTTAGCGATACAATTTCATCATACTACAATGTATTGCAGCGGAGGCAGAGATGGTTAAGACAGTTTCCATTTCCCATGACAGGTACCTGGTCTTTTAAAGTCTTCCATCTCATCACTCACCTGCATGTTTTCACCAAAACACATGTGGTTTTCAAACACAGGAAAGACAACATGCTAACCTGTGGTTATAATTTCCACTAGAAAACAGAAAAAAAGCAGAGCTCAGAAAAACAGTGCTTGTAGGAAGCGCCCTTGTGCTTCAAACATCAAAGCTCCCGTGAAAGAGTTCTCTCTTGAGCAGAGCAGGGATAGTGCTTGCAAATGGTAAGAGCTGGAAAACAGGGCCTGGCCGTGCGAGCTGTCTGAACTAGCTTAGCGTTGTGGCTTGGACCAATGGGAAAGCTTCGGAATTGTCAACCCTCCCTTATCTTTCCCAGTAGTCACTTTTGTCTCCTTTTTTCCCATTTTGGGGAAGCTGGGAGAAATGTCTCCCCAGAGGACCCTTTTCATTCCCCAAGTAGCTCTAAGGTACCTTTGTCAGAGCCCATCTGGAAGCCGACTGACCTGTTCAAAATAGCGTGTCCTCAGTGGCCTATTAGCTACAGAGCTGCTTTCAATCTGCCTTATGTGCCTCTGTGGTCAGTGGATCACCAGGACAATGGCCAGGTGGGGGGGGGGGCGTGGGTGTGGGTGTGTGTGTGTGGACTGCACCAGACAACACCATTACAAGGGATGACCCCCAAGGGACTGTCCATAAAACTGTTGTGCACTGTTGCAGCAGAAATTTATTAATTTTTATTAACATATTCCTCTAGCTAGTGATAACAACCCAAACATGTTTCCTAAACCCAGTTTACCCACCTCAATATGCTCACAAAGCTAAAACTGTATGTTGATTTCCGTTTTTGACCAGCCCCTGATGGATCATGGTTATTTGTCGGGCTGGTAACCTTAAGATAGTGATTGGAAATCACCCACCACTCTGCAGGTGAGAGACAGGACTTTCTACTCCTGTAAAGAGTTGGAAACCCACAGGGGCAGTTCTACCATATCCTACCGGGTCATTCTGAGTTGGCATCCACTTACTAACAGGGGGTTTAAGGAGCCCTGGTGGTGGAGTGTATTACATATTCTGCTGGCTGCTCACTGCAAGGACAGCAGTTGAAAACACCAGCTGTTTCATGGGAGACTGATGAGACTTTCTACTCTCTTGAAGAGCTACAGTCTCAGAAACCGAGAGGCAGTTCTACCCCATCCATTAGGGTCATTATGAGCAGAAATGAGCTAGATGGTGGAGAGTTTGGGTTTGAGTAATGGGCTCTGGTGGGAGCCGTCAATCTGAAACAGTTACAATGATACCGCACTTTCAAGTCAATTGATTTCAAGCACATAGTTGTTTCGTTATTGCCAGTGTTTTATTTTTTTAAAATTATTATGAATTAGGAGTTAACACATATCATTCCGTAGTTCAATCACGTCAAGCAGTCTTGTAAAATTGCTACCACCATCAGTTTCCAAACCTTGACATCGTCTTCCTCTTACCCTCCAGCCCCACCCCCCATTCACTGTACTGGCCAGGAGCCCTTATTCTACTTGCTGTCCCTATCGGTTCCTCCATCCTGGGCTTCAAATACTGAACAACATAACAAACACTCAAGAGGGTGACCCTCAAAGACATAACACCTCTGACATAAACTGTAACACGAACCAACAAAAATACAGACGATGTTGAAAACCAGATCAGGTCCAGCGTTTGTCTTGTTGTCAGTGTTTTAATTGCTGCTGATTTTGTCAATTGCCCTGGTGGTTCAGCCACAATACTGTGGGAAGGAATTAAGGACCCCTGGTGGCACAGGCGTTAAAGTACTCAGCTGCCAACCAAAAGGTCAGTAGTTCAAATCCAACTGGAACCCTATGGAACAGTTCTACTCTCTTGGGCAGGGCCATCATGAGTTTGAATCTATTTCATGGCAGTGAGTTTGGTGATTTGTTCTGTGGTAATCAGTACTTGTGAACTCATACCAATATTTTGTCTTGAAAATACAGGAGCAGTTACAGGGAAAAGTTCAAAGCCCACTGCCATCGCATCAATTTCAACTCAAAGCGACCCTCTACAAGATTGCTGGAGCTGTACATCTTCACTGGAACAGAATGCCTCGTTTTTTCTCCCAAGGAGCAGTGGCAGGGTTTGAACAGTCAGCCTTGAGGTTAGCAGTCTGATACTTAGGTGGCAGCGCCAACCTTGGCTTTGTAACTGAAGGAAAAGGAGGACAATTGTTACAAGGTTTCACTCAGTTGCTAGTAATGTTTTAATTATTAGGGTTGTGATTCAACGTAGAAAGATCTTACCTGCTTTGTGAGGTGCCTTGAGCAATTCATCGTGACCCTGTGTACAGCAAACTCAAACAATACCCCATCCTGCACCACCCTCACAGTGCTCGCTGAGTTTGAGCCTGTTGTAGCAGCCCCGTGTCAATCTATCTCACTGAGTGCTTCCTTCTTTTTTTGCTGACTCAAATACCAAAGGCAGCCCTGGTGGCACCGTGAGCTCGGCATTCGGCTTCTAACAGCAAGGTCTGTGGTTTAAAACCACCAGATGCTCCTTGGGAGAAAGATGAGGCTGTCTGCCCCCATCAAGATGTACAGTCTCAGCTACCCTACACTGGGTCACCATGGGTTGGATTCAGCTCAATGGCAATGGTGTCTTTTACCAAGCATGATGTCCCCATCCACTGGTTTCTCCTGATCACATATCAAAAGGAGGTGAGATGAAGTCTCACCATCCTCACTTCTTAGGACCATTGTGGCTACACTTCTTTAAAGACAGATTTGTCCATTCTTCTGGTAGCCCATGTTATCCATTCACTATTTTTCACCCACCCCGTGCTTCAAAGGCACAAATGCTCCTTTGGTCTTTCTTATACATTGTCCAGCGTTTCCCGTGCATATGAAGTGATCGACCATTCACTGAATCTAAGAAATATTACACATCTGTGTCTTTGTTGAGTGCTATTGATTCTGTTCATAGTACAACTGCACAAAAACACCGCCTGCTCCCGAGCTATCCTCACAATCGCTATGTTTGAGCCCATTGGCGCAGTCACTGTGTCAGTCCCTCTTGTCCAGGGCTTTCTTCTTGTTCCTGCTTTCCTCAGCACGATAGCCTTTTCCAGGGAGTCGTCTCTCCGGAAAATATGTCCAAAGCACCGAGGTGAATGAAGTCTTGGCATTCTCGCCTGGGGGAAGTATTCTGGCTGCACTTGTTCGAGACAGATGTTTTTTGCTCTTTTGGGAAATCCAGCGTGCTTTCAATCTTCTCCAGCACCACCAGTCAAATGGGCCAGTTCTCCTTGGTCTTCCTCATTCAACGTCCAACTTTTGCAAGCAGTTGAGGAGGTTGAAATACCATGGCTTGGGTCAGGCGTGCCTTAGCCGTCAGAGTAACAAATATAATACAACTCTATGTATCCCACATTACTCTGTGATTAAAATCGATAGCAAGCATTACTAGGAATTCTTTATGGTCTGCTACAGGAAGTGGTCCATGGGAGGGGGCAGACGCCACCAGGGATGCCACTGATTAAGCTGATTCTGTATCTAAGGCCAATGCATTTTCCAGGAGCTCCCCAGAGAGCGTGGGTTTCTGATGTGAGTCTGAGTCTCATGGGGAATCAATCAATCAATAACTGACCAAGAACCAAAAGAGGTCCTTTGAATTCACTCCAAATGTAGCCATCACAACTACAGAGATGTAGTGTAAGTTTTAGGTAAATTCGATCTGCATGAGGCAAGTGTTAGTTTAACTTTGGAAATGTTTTCTTCAGCTGGCTGGGGGAGAAAGCGCTCTTTATCGAACCCGAAGCATCGTTCCCTGAAGCCATGCAAAACCTGTGCTCATGGGGTGAGAGACACACAGTCCTTTATGTTTCCCTTCTGGTTGTCTGATCTCATCAAACGAGAGTACAGTAAGTACAACTACAGTACAACTCCTTCGCGTGTCACGAGGAAGAGACGCCGAAGTGCTTTCTCAACCCGGGAGCTCAAGTTTAGGGGAAAGAAGAGCCACGTGGGCATACAAGGGTGCCAGCCAAGGGAACTATTCTCCAACTGTCAAGCTCTTATCTGCCATCGAGCAAGATGTTATCAGTGTGTTACATGACACTCTGTACCAAACAGGCCTGGGTAGCAATGCAGAAAGACTCTGGGAGAACCTGTTAACCGCTGTTCCAGCTTTTGCCTTGCTCCCCGATGGCCCATGAGGGTGAACTGGTGACACTCACAGCAGACGGGGCCTTCGCTGCACTGACCAGCTAGGGGCTCCAAGAAGTTAACCGACCTGCTGCAGCCCCCACCCCCTAGAGACCTAACTCATATGCCCTTGGACTTTGGGCTGAGAGGAAGCAGACAACCACTCTCCAAAGGTTATAGAATAGGTAGTCTCTGAACTTTGATTCAGATCTCTTGATATGAGAGTGTCCAGTGACTACCATGTGTTTACTATTTTACTGTACTCTTCAATTTATTTTTTTAATGACATGTGTTAGTCTGACCTTGTGAATGAGTGTTATTGAAAATTTTACCTATCCCCAACTCTCGTTGCTCTTTGGGTAAGTAGTGTCCAGGAACTTAAGCTTTTAATTTGCACAAGTCAGCAATTCATGTATTGTGGTCTGAAATGTGGGCCTAGACTTGTATAATTTCCTTTTTTCAGCAGTGTTTTAAATTCTGTACCATTGGCTAAATTAATGATACTCTCAAAAGAGATACTTTATGTCCCATGGGGATTATTTATAATGTTCTCTATCACAAAGGATAATGATGCCTTTAATGTGAACCAGAGACATATATAAACCATGGATATGAGAATGGATTTGGGGCTCACACATCATCCTAGCTCTAACCTAAAAAGAATTGGTTCTTATGATATGGTCTTACTTGATACTCACCCTCATGAAGAGAGTTCTGAAACTCTGGGTGTGATAGGAAAGTGTGGTGAAGAAATCTGATGGTTCCTGGCTATCAGAAAGAATAGCATTTGGGATTTTAAAGGCTTGTTGTAAAGCAAAACAGTTCTTTACTATTCTTTTGCTCAAGCATCTCAGTGAGGTATCAACTATCCACATGGAAGAAGCACACCAGCCTATGTAAATCTGGAGAAAAGAATGATATTAGAGCTTAAGTTGTGAAAACCCAGATTGCAGAAGGCTGTGGATGACAGGGGAAGCCCAGAATCCATTTGCAGGGTCCCCACATGGATGAAGCCTCTGGTGAATCCCCTCTGACCTGGTCCAGGGATGTGACTTGCCTTGCTGTCAGACAGCGAGCTTTGTAAGGTGGACTGTAGCAGATGCAAATGAAGTTAATAGGTAACACCTTATCATTTGATCTCCCTTTGGACCTATTTTAAAATTATTTCATTTTTAAATATCTTCTGCTTTCCTTTCTATTGCATTTGTTCTCTGTTTTGTCATTATTGTTCTTCTGTTTGTTTGTTGTTTGTGTTCTGTATTATTTTCTGTTTATGAAATCCAGAATAGTTAAATCTATAAAAATAGTAACTGGATTCATAATTACCTGGGGACTGACTGTGGTGATGATCACTCAACCCTTCTTGATATGACAGAACTATTGAACCCTATGATGTTAATTATAGCTCAGTAAAACTATCTATTTAAATAACTCAGAAAACAAATTCAAAACCAAATTCAGTTCTGACTCATAGAGACCCTATAAGGCAAAGCAGAACTGGCTTATCAGCAAAACCTTGGCTTTCCTTGGCTGCACCTTTTACAAAATGCATAAATCCCCGTCTTTCTCCTGCAGGGAAGTTGGTGAGTTTGAACTTTGATCTTGTTGTTAGTAACCCAATACATAGCCACTATATCACCAGAGCTCCTTGTGTATCCCATTAGCTTCCTAAATTTAAAAACAAACATTAATTTGGAAGTATCGGCCCTAGTTATTTGGGGAAAGGGTTCATGGACCTGTTTTTATAAGTTATCAAGCAAGTATTACTCATTTTCTTCATTTTGTTTTCTAGAATCAATACAGTTCACCATTCATCTGCTCTGGCTACAGTCCCCATACTTTTGGAACTCCAAATTGCCAAATCATCTGAATTATAATCTGATTCACTGTTAGCATTATTTTGTAACTGAATTATTTTTCATATATATCAAGTATTCACAAGGCCCAAAGAAACTCTCCCCAAAATAAAGATCCTAGAGTAGAAGAGTTGTTTTGGAATTTTCCTACCCTAACTAGAAGACTGGAATTTTAGAAATATTTTTATGCACACAATCATACTACTGAAGATTTCTAATGACCAAACTTCAAATAACATATGCATATATGTTATTTCACAGAATTCTCAGACAGGTCATAAAATTAAGCTTGGAAACTGTTCAGCCAGGAGTAATACATGCCTTGTCCTAGTCTGTACACAGAATTCTACTGGTGGAGTCCCTTGATATCCTTATAAATATTATACATTTAAAAAATATATCTGAGTCCTGAACAAGTAAGAAAAAGAAGTGGCAATTAGAGAACAAATACTTTTATTCCTTTTTGACAGTTTCCGTCAGAATGCAGAGCTAAGTGTGAGAGCCTATTGCGCTTGCTAATAGAACCTCTTGGACTTGGATAGGCTTTGTCAACAAAAGCAGAAACCCCCTAAGGAGGCACAGGGGAACTCTTGGGACATGTTTGAACTTCCAAGAGTCACTCAATTGAATAAATATTATCAAACTTGATAACAGAAGTTCAAATGGTTAACCAAGTCCTCTTTCCAATAGATTACAGTTACCACTATACTAATTTTAGAATCAGTAGAAACTGCTCAGTGCTAAATAAGGAAGACCATAGAAGAATTGATGCATTTCAATTTTGGTGCTGGTGAAGAAGGTTGAAAGTACCATGGACGGCCAAAAAAAGCAAGTAATACTGTCTTGGAAGAAGTACAAGAAGTAAGAATTTTCCTTAGAGATAGGATGGCAAGACTTCATCTCCCACATCTCACATACTTTAGACATGCTGAAAAAAAAAAAAAAGACATGCTGATAGGAGAAACCAGTCCCTGGAGAAAGACACCATGCTCATTAAAGTAGAGGGGCAGAGAAAAAGACG